GTCGGTCCGTCTTTTTTTTTTTCGTTGTTGTTTTTTTTTTGTTTGTATCAACACTTCTTCTGCGTCTCTCTTCGCCCGGCACGCAGTCCTGCGTCCATCCACACGCAGGCATACACACACACATGCGCGCGCACTCTGTGGTGACGATTAAACAGATAGCGCCACCAAAGTAAGGGAGGAAGGCAAAGGGGGAAGGAGGAGCGGCGGAAGAAGAGTACAGCATTGCACGTGGGCCCATTTTATTTGGATTTTCGTCACAGCTGCTGCTTCTGCCTTCTCTATATATGCACATACATAAATAAGCATAAATAATATATATATATATATATATTATTTATTTATTTATATTATTCCTTCCTTTCGGTGTGTGTGTGCGTGTATGCCTGTGTTTGTGAGAGTTGTATGGACTGGTGGTGGTGGTGGTGGTGTGTGTGTGTGTGTGCGCCCAGCCGACATATGCAAGGAAGGAGGGAGAGAGTGTCGAGTCGACCGAAGAAGGGGAAGGAGTGGTAAGAATGGGCGCTGAGTGCCCTGCACCTCAGTGCCTTGGCGTGTTGTGGCATCAGTGGCGCGGGACGATGCCGCTGCGGAAGGGCAGGCGCACGCTGGTAGAGGCGAGGTGAGAGACGGCCCTTCTTGTCTGCACACACGCACACACGGATATATTGCCCATGTGTACATGCAGTGACAGCTTCTTGTTTCAGCGTAGTGCTGCTATGTTCAGATGGTTCTTTTTTTCCCTGTCTGTTTCTCCTATCATGCCTTTTCGTGCAGCACACGCTCTCCGAACGCGCTCAGAAAGAGGCAGGAGATAAACACCCCGACAACGTCAGGGAAAGTGATACCAATGCAAGCCGTACAGATGTACGTGCAGCAGTACAGCGCGGAGGGTCTGCAGAATGAACTCATCCGTGTCATTGACATACTCGGTTACATGGTTGCCTTTTATATCGTCTTCATCGTGAAAGGGCCGACGTACCTGCAGCGCTTCGTTGGCGGCACTCACGCCGCGCCACACTCAGCCGCAGCAAGCGAGGCGCATGTGACGAACGGCGGCACACCGTTTAAGCGCAGCGCAGCAGTTGTGATGCTCGACAAGTTCATGCTTGTGTTGTACACACTGATGGCGCTCATGTCTGCGGTGACGCTGACACAGATTGTGCCGGTGTGGCTCGCGGCGGCGCGGCAGTGCGGCTTCTACGAGGCCACGTGCGTCTGGGACGACGCGCTGATCTTCCGCGGCCCCGTCGGCCTGTGGCTGGGCGCCTACACGCTCAGCAAGGTGCCTGCGCTGCTCGACGTGATGCTCCGTGTCCTGCGGAACCACTTGTGCGGTGCCGCCAAAGCGACGCACCCGCAGCACCAGCCGGTGCTCTTCGGCGAGTGGTACTACCAGTCGATGATCCTCGTCTACTGCTGGCACACGTTCAGCCTCGGCATGAGTTTCTTCGTCGTGCTCGTCATGTGCAACGCGGTGGCGCAGGGTGTAGTGTACGCGTGCAAGGCGCGGCGGGCGGCTGCTGCTGCTGCTGCTGCTGGACGATGCCCCCGCCTGGACGCGTGCATCGTCGCCGTGTACATAGCAGAGTGCATCGCGGGCACAGCAGTGGCGGTGTACGGCTCCTACCAGAACTATGTGGGCCATAAGGGCTGTGCGTTGATGCAGGCCAACGCACGGATGTGCGTGGTGATGTACGTGAGCTGTTGTTACTACATAATCACCAGCGTGAGAAAGGCACGGGCAGAGATGCGCAGCACCAAGAAGGAGGATTGATGCAGCTGTGTAGGTGCATGGCCTTAATGTCTTTATTTTATGTGTCTTTGTAGGTATGTGACTGTTTTTTTGCTTTTGTTTTCTTGTTATCTTGTTTCTATATTTGTTTCTGGTACTCATGTGGAAAGCAAAAACTCCGTGCAAATGCGGTGTCGTTTTGAGCGGGTCCATCTCTGCCTGTCTGTCTGCCTGTCTGTATGTATGTGTGTGTGCGAGCCACGCCGTTGCTTCTGGCATTATTATAACGATTGTTATGATGTCCTCCTCCCCTCCACACACACACGCAGTTTCTCTCTCTCTCTCTCCATACAAAATCGAAGAGGTAATAATTGAAGAAGAAAAAAGGAGTGAAGGCAAGTATACTTGTAGATCTTGCTTGTAGTAGGAACGGAATGATCTTCTTTGGTCAGTTGGTGTGCGACGGATGCCGCAAGGTCCTTACCTACCCCCTCGGCGCCATTAGTTGCCGCTGCCGCGGCTGCGGTACTGTCAATGCGGCGCAGAACCTGCGCCTCGACTGCGGCTGCTGCGGCCAGTCGGTCCTCGTGCCGATCAACACGCTGACGTTTCTCTGCCCGTGCTGCGCCACCGTGACGGACATCCCGAAGTCGTTGCTACCGCGCGTCGAGGAGCCAGTCGACCTCGACAGCGACGCTGACAAGGGCCCCAAGACAATCTACGTCTCGTACCCAGTGAAGCGCGCGCACGTGTCGCGGGCACGTACGACGGAAGCGAATTCCAAAACAGCAGCAGCAGAGCCAACAGTAGGATTAAGTGAGGGGAGAGTAGTGGACCAACGACCACTACCACGCGAAGGCGAAGCGAATGATGAGAGACCGGCCGAAGAAAAGAATCTACAGGGCGAAGGGCGTCAGCAGCAACGAGAACATCCTGTAATGTTGACAACAATGGTTGTGGGGACGCGGATACTTTGAGAGGGGGAGAGAGACTATGTTTGTGTGTGTGTGTGTGTGTGTGTGTCTCTTTATGTCGTCTGTGGAGCTTAAATGAAGAAGGCGTGTCATTGTTAATACTGTTGGTCTTGTTTCGACTCGCTCTGGCTGTGTTTATACTAGTTAAACGGGTGACAAGGAAGAGGAAAACAAAAGGAAACAACGTGTTGAAGTGAATTTTTTTTTTGTTTATGTGGTTACTATATCGGCTCACTGGTCCGCGCTTTGCATAACTCTCTCTGTGGCAATTGCGTACTGTGAGATTGTGTGGCCGACTCTGCGTGCGTGATTTTCTTTTTGTTTTTTGTCGTACGCCGCGGCGGTGCGTAAGGCTGAGAAGAGGCATGCGCTTCGAATTTTGGTCATTGCCTGCGCATACACACACACACACACACATTCTCTCTGTGTCTCTCTCTCTCTCTCTCTCTCGCCCATGTGTACACTTTGTACTCTCGTGTTGTGGTGTGGCTGCTGCGGTGCTGCTTGGAGTGGCCACCGGGAGCAATAGACAGCGGTATCGCACTTGGGACGGCGGCGCGCAGAGGGATGCTCCACACGCTCGTGGGGCTCGACCGCGCGGTGCGGGACCTCCGCCTTTACGTTGAGCAGCAACAGCAACAACAGGGGTCTTCCTTGTCGCTCGCGACGGTCACTGTGACGCCGGCAGCGGCGCCCGCGCTTGTGGCGCGGCTTCTCAACGGCGTCGAGGAGGCCTTTACCCCCGACCCCTTGTGCGACGCGGCGGCGTTCTTCGAAAGCGTTGTGGTGCCACTCCTGCAACGGGCGCCGCGGCTGCACAAGACGCATTTCCCGCTTGAGGAGACGCTCCGTGAGCGTCGGCCCGACGCCCCCGATGCGTTCCGCTGCTGGTTGGTGGAGGGACTTAATACGGTTGACTCCCTCCGGGAGGCGGCGCTGCTGCTGCTCGTGGGGAGGCGACCCGCGGGTGACGGCGGTGGCGGGGACAACGTGTTGTTCAGAAAGGAGCAAGTGCGACGGCTGCGGCAGTGCTTGGGACCGCGCACGTACCTGCTTCGGGCGGCGTACATCACACCGCTCTTGTCGTTGCTTTACGAAGTGTGGCACCCCAGAGTTCACACACGGGCAGGAACGCGGCGTGTTGCTGTGCAGTACCGCCTGCTGCTGGCGGAGGCGCTGCCGCTCTTCCGTGATGCGCCGCGGGAGGTGCACCTGGAGCGGCTGCGTCTGCACCGAAAGCGGCGAAAGAAGCAACAGCAACCAACGACTTCTGAAGCAGCAAGAACACCAACAAATTCAAGTGTTGTGAAGGACGGGCTGGCGGGGATGAAATTGGCGCCACCAATGGGCTCTTTGAGTGTTCCTGTAGATGATGGGGCGCCCTCGGAGGCGCCGCTGTGGTGGTCCCGGGTTAAAGAAATGGTCTGCCCCCTCACTGACAAGGACGGCGAGGCCGATTATAGACACCGGCAGAATCATAACGACAACAATGAGAAGATCAACATTGATGATGATGATTATTATTATTATGGGGAATACTGTTATGTAACTGATGCCAGCACTCAGACAGCGGGTAGTGGTGTTGATAGGAGAGACTGGGAGCAGAGAAGGGATGGCGCTGATGGTGTGGTGGCTGCTGCGTGTTTCAATGGCAATGTGACGGATTGTATTGGAGGCAGCAGTCGTAGCAGTAATAAGAATGCTGCGTGTCGAAGTATTGGCACCAATACATTACAACCATCGCCGCTCATGACGACTATGGAGCTGCTGGATGCGCAAGAGCAGCTAGAGGCCACACGAGCGGCTCTTCGACGCGATGGAGAAAGTCTGCAGCTGCGCGAACGGCACCTCGCAGAGTTGGAGGCAGAATACAAGGAGAAGCTCAGCATGCTCACGGATGTGCTTCATGGTGCGAAGAAGTTGTATAACGAGCTCGTGATGCACCCTGGAGGGCGAGGCGCTGGTGCAGAAGCAAGTCAGCAACAGCAGCCCCCTCATCTCGCAGAGGTGGAGGCGCGTCTGCTTAATCTTATCGAAGTGATTTATGGCAAGGATGGGGAAGGAGGAAGAGCGGCAGTGCCTGTTCCAGACACACCGGTGACACGCGCCAAGGCCCAACAAACAATCTTACAGTACGATGAGCGCCGACGCAAGCACCTGCAACAGGAGCGGCCGCGCACTACTACTGCTGCCCCAGTCAATGCTGTTGCTTCATTTGTTGGTGCTGCCAGTGTCGGTCCACTTGTGTTCCCACCGGTGGAGCTCCCTCGTGCAGTGCAGCTGCAGCAGCAAGCGTACCGCTGCCCCGGCTGTGGGGTTTCCCTGGACGGGTCCGGCCAGGGACTGTTCCGCTTTGGCAAGCCGCGCCGCTGTCACTACTGTACGCAGATTTATTGCCACGCATGTCACACGAACCGCACATCAGTGCTACCGTTTCTTGTGCTGACCACGTGGGACTTTACAACCCGGTACGTCTGCGACAGGGATCACGCGTGGCTACAGCAGAACTGGAACAAGCCGTGGTGTACAATGGGTGATCGCGCGGGCCAGCTGGAGCAGCACCACCTCCACCCGGTTTCGCTACGGGGTTCAGTACAGCTCGCCAAGGTGCTGCGACACTGGTTCCTGGTGTGTTCGCAGATGGTGCGCTGCTGCAGCGAGCCGCTCGCGGCGGACGTTGCGGCGCCACTACAGACGTACTACGCCGACACAGATGTGATGTATTCTCTCAGCGACATGTGTGGTATCCAGTACAGCGAGGAGAGTGGCATCGCTGCGCGAGAGTTGCGCAGTGGGCGGGGGTGGGTGCTCAGCACCGTTGGCATTGCCGGTCGAGGACGCAGCAGCAGTAGCTCGCTCTTGCACGACGCAGCGCTGATTGCCACAACGGTGGGGAACGTTGTGAGTGCAATGCCGTACCCCGCGGCACTGGAGCGTCTCTGGGCCGCGATGAGTGCGGAGAAGAACGGCGGCACACCCACTGTTCTTGGTCCTGCTACGGGTACTGCCGCTGGTGTAGATGAGAAGCGAGTGGACCGTCCAAAGCCGCTGCCGTCATCAGCGACGTTTGGGCAAAGCACACGTACGTCATCTGCATCTGCAGAGAGTGGTGCGGGTTCAATGCCCCCATCATCATCAACAAGAGGAGCAGCAGGTGGAGGAGGAGGAGGAGGAGCCGATGGACGGCAGGACTTCTTGCGCTACCTTGTCACGCAGATTCAGGCGATGGAGCGGCACCTCCTCCGCGACTGCTCCTTCTGCGTTGCCCGCGCCACGACGGTGTGTGAGTTGTGTGGCGAACGCGACGACCAGACGCGACTTCTGCCGCTCATGGACGCGGAGGTGGTAGGTGTGCGGCTGCTCGAGGCAGCGGCAGCGGCGGCGGCGTCGGCGTCGGCGGGGAGNCTCATGGACGCGGAGGTGGTAGGTGTGCGGCTGCTCGAGGCAGCGGCAGCGGCGGCGGCGTCGGCGTCGGCGGTGAGGGAGACACCTCTTATTGAGGCGGCGCGGGTGGCAGTGCAGTTGGTGCGCGGCAGCGGTGGCGGTGTTGCAGCGTGTGGGAATTGCGGCACGCGGTACCACAGAGAGTGCCTTATCAAGACGCGCTGCCCTCACTGCGTGTGAGAGTCCCTTCCACCAACAGCAGCCGGGGGAGAAGTAGGATGCATGATTTGGCTTACTGTGGATGGGAAAGACGCAGCAGTGATGGTGGTGGGTATGCATCCCGGTATATACGTGTGTGGGTATGTTCCAAGTTCACTTCATTGTGGTCTTTGGGGTTGTGATGGTCTTCTTGAAATGGTGTGAAAGGAAAACGCCGAAGCACTATTGCACAGCGTCACTTTTCCCTCTACTTGTGCAACTATTTTAGAATATCATCTCTGAAAGAATGGAAGAGGGAGAAGAAGTAGACATTGACGTTCTGGTGGATCATTATCTCAGAGCCACCACACCGCTCCTGCAGGAAACAAGAGCAACTCAGGATTCGTGGCAGCAGCAGGAGGAGGAGGAGGCGAGCAAGGAAATAATACGGCGGCCCCACAGCACTAGCGGAAAGAACTACAACACCGAAAACAGTCGTGACGAATGTGTTGACTACATCAGTAATAGTGATGACGATAATAAGAATGAAGAGGAGGAGGATATTGAGGCTCTGGTGGAGGGCATTCTGCACGGAGAACAGCACCACAACAGCAGCACCAGACTCCCACATTTGAATGAGAATAGGAAACTGGAGGAGGAGGAGGAGGAGGAAAATGAGCAGCACTCGCCGCTGCCGCAGCGAGTCGCTGCAGACCGCCGGCTCTATCGTCATGCACACTCCGCCTCCTCGCAGCGCAGCGGCGGCGGCGGCGGCGGCGACGGCGAC